CTCAATGGCCTTTTGGCAGTGAGTGCCCAAAGCTGAGCACAGCACTGAGCTGTGACCTCCCCATTGCCAAGCACAGGGGGATGATCACTGCCCTGGTCCTGCTGCCACACTGTGCTTGAGCCAGGCTAAGATGCCATTGGTCTTTTGCCATCTGTGCACACTGTTGGCTCACATTGAGCTGCTGCCACCAGCACTGCCAAGACCCTTTGACACCAACACCTCTCCAGCCACTCCTCCCCCAGCCTGGAGCTGCATGGGGTTGTTGTGCCCCAAGTGCAGGACCAGCACTGAGCCTCAGTGACCGTCCTGCAGTTGCACTCAGCTCATTGGTGAGGTCAGTAGGACACATGCTGTGCTCCCGCAGGTCAGGGCGAAGGAGACGCGGCGGCTGGAGGCGCTGATGAAGCGGGACGTCCAGCAGGAGCAGCGTGTGGCCATGCTGCGCCGCCTGCCCACCATGGCCAGAGTCCTCCGCAACGTCTTCGTGGCCGAGAAGAAGCAGGCGCTGACCATGGAGGTGGCTTGTGCCCGAATGGCCGACAGCTATGACGAGCAGATGCCACCTGGTAGGAGTTTGGGGGGGGTCTCTGTGCCACCTCATGGGGATTTTGCAGGAGGGTTTTGAGTTCTGACCTGCTGCTCCTTCCGCAGGTGAGATGGAGAAACACCTGCGGCTCTTTGCGGAGCTCCTGCCCAACTGGGTGGGTGTCCATGCCCTCAGGACAGACACCTACATCAAGCTGGACAAAGAGAAGGATCTCAACATCATCACCGAGAGGCTCACCAAGGCGTTGAAGGAGGCAGAAGCTCTCTGAGCCTCATAAGGGTTGAAGTTTCCCCTGTGCAATCTCTTCTAGATGTAGCAAATCCCACTGCACTTTTTGCTGTCCAATCTCTTCTAGGTGTAGTAAATCCCACTGTGCTCCAGGGTCTGGGAGGCTGCACCTCAGGGATGTCAGAGGAAGGGCAAAATGCCTTAATGTAGCTAGTTCCTGTGGTGGGATCCGTGAAGAATGTAGATCCCCCAGTCCTTGAGCAATCTTGTGTCCTGGAGTGATGATGCAAGCAATGAAGAGAAGCTGAGTAACTTCTTCATGGTTTTCCTGTGTTCTCCCAAAGTTTCAATGCAGGAATATTGTCCTGAAGGTTCAATTTAGTAGTTTCCTTCCATCAAATAGGCCCTGGTGGGGTGAAGGCAGGACTGGGCAGGGTGAGAAGGTGACAAGCAGGAAACAACAAGAGAAAAAGTCACTAATTGGATGTTTTTGGAGCTCTGGGCCTTGTTCTGTTTTTAAGGGAGGGAAAAAGCACCTTCCAGCCTTTGCTGGAAACAACTGTGCAGGACTTGTCAAAACATATTTGTATTAAATGTTTTAAATAGAGTTGACTCGTGTTAACCCAGTGCTCTTCCTCCGTGAGCTGCCTGGCTCGTGGCTCTCCATGGCAATCCGTGCCGGGAAGGGCTGGGGCCTCATCCAGCTCCTGGACAAGGACTCACTGGAAAAAGTGAGCGTGGGCTTGCAGGGAACTGAATGCAGCTTTTGTGCATGGGACAGGGGAGCAGCTCCAACAGAGACAGGAGCAGGCAGGGCTGGGGTGGTGCAGGGAGGGCTTTTTCCCAGGGGAAATCCCAGGCCACTCGGCTGAAGTGGCTTGGGAAGAGGGACAAAGAGGGTGAGGATTGCAGCAGAGGTGCTGGGCTGGCTGAGCGCCTGGGCTGGGGCAGTGTGGGCACAGGGGAGGAGATGGGATCTGCCCAGTGCCACGGCAGGCACACCTCATGCTGCTTCCTGAGCCGAACTGGGCTGGCTGGAGCTGGGGACACCTCATGCTGCTTTCTGAGCTGAACTGGGCTGGCTGGAGCTGGAGACATCAAGGACTTGCAGGGAAAGGTGATTGTCCTTCATTCCTTTATCCTGTGCTGGTCTGGGGCAGATTCCCATTTGAAGTGCTGAGTCGGAGTCTGGCAGCATCAGAGATGGCACTTCCCAGGGGAGCAGGCAGCTCTTCCTCCTGCAGGCCATGCAGCCCAGTTGGCAGGAGGTTGCCCAAGTTTCCAGGGAGGAGGAGGAGGGTCTGATTGACATGGTGGGGCCAGTTCAGGGGCTGGAGGGATGTGGGGGGCTGGGGTGTGAGGCTTAGGTGTTCTTGGGGCAGGCTGGGCTATGGGCCATGCTCAGGGACCTCACCGTGGTGAAGAGGAGCTGGATTGGAGAGGACTCGGATTCAAATTGCTGGATTGGAAAGGAGCTGGATTCTGTAGCCTGGCAGCCACACACATATCCCAGGAGAGCTCCATGAGCTCCCGTTCTTAGGACAAAAGCCTTCTCCCTCTGGCCCCTGCACAGCCTTGTCTCTCCAAGCAAATGACCTCAGGGGCTGCTGGCAGCATGGCCAGCATGAAGGCACCTTCCCCATGTTCCCTGATGTCACCTCCTGGCACTGGCAAGGCTTCTTTCCCCAGCACACAGCTGCTTTCCATGGCTCTTTGGGGTGGAACTCTCGCCTGCAGTAGGGACCCAATCCTCCTGCCAAGAATGTAAGGTGCTGCCTCCCTTGGCTCTTTGTGGGGCTTGGCTGTGAGACAAGTGCCCTGGGGAAGGCTGATCCCGAGGGAATGGTGTTTCTCAGAGTAAACTGAGCAGCCCTGGAGTGGCTTTTCAGGAAATGAGGATAAAAATAGCTGGAATAGCTCTTACAAGTGTAAGGGCTGGGTGTGAGGTGGCCCTACATGCTGGGTGGGGAAGGGGAGCTGAGCTGGGGGGATTTGGACTACCTCTCCAACCAGTTGGTGCAGGGTATAGAGGAAAGGTACCTGAGCTGCTCCCTAGAAAACAATTCCAAGCATTTGGGGGGGAGGTGAAGAGCGAAACTCACAGCACAGTCTTGCTCTCCACCGGGGTTTGGAGGAAGACACAAGGGTCACTGATGGCTTCAGCTACTGCAAGAATAGCTCTGAGACAGTTTAGCAAACATACAAACCAGTCAGTATTTATTTTACCTGTGAGTCCAGTCCCTGCTGGGACAGGGAAAAGTCCCTGATGTTCTCAGGCATGTGAAGGTTTTGGCACACTAGGTTTTGTCTGTGACCAAGGACAGAGCATCTCCAGCCCCCACATCACCCATCTCCTACCTGAGGCCACTGGAACACGTTCCTGTGGCCTGATCTGACATCAAACTACCACCAAGAGCAGGCCCTGAACTGGCATCAGCCTTTCCAGGTCCTGATGCCTCAAACCACCACAGCAGAGGAAAAGCAGCAGCACAGGCAGTTGGATGTGGTGCAGAAGGTGAGGAATTTGTGCTCAACAAGAGCTGCCTGTGGTCGCCAGGGAAGGAGAACACAGTGACTGAGCTCATCTACACTAGCAACATCCTGATTTAAGGACACAGCAGGCACTTATTTCCCCTTAACAAGCACAACCTTGATGTAAGAGCAACTCACTCTGGTGTGAGCACAGAGCAACCAGACCAACCCCTGAGGTCAAGTACAGCAGGATTTATCCCTTAAATAATATTTTTTTGCCCATCTCCTGTGTTTCTTTGGCAAATTTTGGTTCCTTGGAGGCTGACAGGCACAGCTCAACCCCCAGGAAATGCCAAGTGCCCTGTCAGAGATCTCCAGCCTCAGCAGCAGGATAGTTACTTTGGTCTCCTAAAATATACTCGGTGAAGCTGCACCTTGGTCTCCATCCCCTCAAATAGTCAGGCTGGTCCTTCTTCCCAAAAGGATAAACACCAAAATGCATCCTTACACTCAATGTAACTTAATCTGTGCTCTGGGAAGAAGATTTGGGATTGTGCAGCATCTAACCAGGATCAAAAGTGTGTGTTCCCCTCCCTGCCCACCCCCTTGTGACATAGAGAATTGCTGAATAAAGCCCCAAACTTGTTCCCAATGTTCCCTCCTCCCTCTTCCTCCTCAGTCATACTGCAGCAGGGAGTAGAAAGGGATGGAATTGAGCTTTTCTGATCCTTTCAGGGATTTTAACTCAATGATCACCAGGCACTCCAGGATTTCAGCCTTCAGCCTCTTCAGCAGTTCACAGGCTGCACACATGGTACCTGTGTAGGGGGAGCAGAAATACTGTCACTCCAGGAGCACTTCCAGCCCCAAAGCTGCTCCTGCTGCTGCCAACAGGTTACCCAGAGAGGCTGTGGATACCCCTGGAAGTGTTCCAGACCAGGTTGGATGGGGCTTGGAGCAACCTGGGCTAGTGGAAGGTGTCCCTGCACATGGCAGGGGGTGGAATATGATTTTTAAGGTCCTTCCAGCCCAACTCATTCTACTTCTGTGCTTCGCTCACCTCCAGTTGCCAGCAAGTCATCCACAATCACCACTTTCTGTCCTGGTTCCACAGCATCACTCTGGATTTCCAGTTCAGCCTGCAGAGTGGAAAGAGCAGCTTCATTTTAGTCTGGCTTGGAGAGAAGTTCTCCAGCTGCTGACACGTGGTGGAACACGGACAAGTCCTCAGCGAGATTAACTCAGCACCTAAAATTCCCCCAAAACACAAACTCCAGCTACAGGGAAGCACCACAGAAACACAGAGCAGGGAGGGGATTGCTGGGCCAACCCTCTGGTGTGTCATAATCCTGAACATTCACCGTATGAGTTATCATGTAATCTCATCCCAGAGCAGTTCTCCATGAGTGAAGTCTGCAATGCACTGGGCTGGGGAGCTCTGCCTCGAGCCAGATACAAAGTGGCATGTCCTGTGTCAGATGAGCTTGTCCATGCAGGGGTTGGCCCAAACAACCCACATGGCTAAGGCCTGGGTTTGGGGGTTCTGCTGCCATTAGTTACTAGTGGTAGTAGCACATTATTAGGCCAACATTAGGCTTGGGAAGCCATGCAGGAAGGCACTGACTTTGAGCACTTACTGGCAGAGTGGGAAACACATTCCATGGTCATGCCCCTGAATTCAAGCCAAAGAAAGCAATTTAGCACCGAGTCTTAGCATCAACCCCCCACCAAAATCACAGCACAGCACCACAAATCACTCACTGGCACAGACCACGGGGCCATGGCTCAGGGACAGAGCCAGCTCAGAGCCATTTCTGAAGGTTGTGCCGTGCCAGAGTGTCCATGGCATCAGAGACCCAATTTGGGAACATCCCCACAGGTTTTATCCCCTCACTGACATCCCCCAGCCCTGCACCCCACAGCCTGCAGCCCCTGAGTGTTACCTTGCCATACTCCAGGGCGTAGGAGATGGACTCAGTCGGCCCAGGGAGTTTCCCCTTTTTCCGTATGGGCACGAAGCCAATCCCCAACCTCTGGGCCAAGGGAGGCCCAATGAGGAATCCACGGGAGTCCAGGCCTGAGGGGAGCAAAGCACAGCAATTGTGGAATCATTAAGCCTGGAAAAACCCTCTAAGACCATCAAATCCAACCACTAATCTAACACCTATGTGTTCAACCACTAACCATGTCCCCAAGTGCCACATCCACATGGCTGTTAAATCCCTCCAGGGATGGAGATTCCACCACTGCCCTGGACAGCTGTTCCAATGCCTGACCACCCTTTCAGTGAATATATTTTCCTAATATCCAATCTAAACCTTCCCTGGTGCAATTTGAAGCCATTTCCTCTCGTCCCATCACTCAGATTGCAGCCAGTTACCTGGGGGAGGCTTTTTGCATGCTCCCCGTTTGATCCTCCCATTCTGAGGAGTCTCTAGAAGCAGCTTGCTCTTCCAGTCCCTTCTGAAGGTTGCAAACAAACCCCACACTCCTGTGCTCACCCAGATGTGCTGCTGACAGGCTCCACAATGAGCCCCCATCAGCCCATTTCCCTTCCCTCTCACTCTTTTTCTTACAGATAAGCTGAGCAGAGCCCCAGTATCAGCTCAGCCACACAACCAGGGACTTTGTCCCTCCAGGCACAGACTCATTATCACAAGGCACCTGGCCTAGCTTTGGTCTGGACTCCTTGAACCTTGGGCTATCACCCAGCACAAGCAGTGCCTTCCTCAGCACTTTCCCAGGTGTGCTGCAAGGGGTTATCACCACAAAAGTGGTTTGTGTTGGCTTGGAAAGGCTCCCGGAGAGAGAAAACAAGCTGGAACAGGGTCTGCCTGCCATGGGGACTGTGCAGGACCTTACAGGCACATCAGGCTTTCTGTATTCCCTCTTTTTTTCACTATGGAATTGGCACTGAAGTATTATCAGGTGGTGCCTGCCACATCCCAAACCAGTATTTCAGGAAACTATAGGAGGAGGTCAAGGGTATAACCTGTCCTGGTGTTACCACATGACAGAGGGCAATGCTCAAGTGATTCTCATGTCCAAGGGCTATGGCACTCCAGATGGGTCACTCCACACTTCCCACCCAAGGGACACACTGCTCTGCCCTGGCCTCAGGGATGTTCCGACCAACACCTACCTGCAATGAAGTCGATTTTGGGGAAAGATGCCCTCAAATGATCCTCCAGAAGATCAATCAAAGTCCTGAAGGCTACAGGATCCTTCAGCAAGGGGCTGATATCACTGCAAGGAGAGAGGGGAGTGAGGGACCTCCAGGGGCTGCTCTGTTCAGCTGAGCTTTTTAGGCCAGGGAAGGCTCCTGCTTGCTGCTGCCAGGGGCAGGGATGGGCAGTGGGGTGAGGAGCTGGCAGTGAGACCCTGAACTCCATGAATCCATACCCATCCCCTATCCTGGACCCAGCCCTGGCTCCATTCCTGGTCCTGGCTCCGTCTCTGATCCTATTCCCATCCCCAGTCCTGGTCGTGATCCTATCTCTATCCCTATTTTCATTCCCATCCCCATTCCCTGTCCCATCCCCGTCCCCGGTCTGTCTCCGTCCCTCTCCCGGAGTCCCGGTCCCATCCCCGTTCCCACGCTCGATCCCCGCTCCGTTCTCAGCCCCATCCCCATCCCCGGTCTGTCTCCGTCTCTGTCCCCCT